ATACGAGCCTAAACTTGCTTGCACCTTGTAGAGCAGCATGTGCTGAGACACATATTTAAATGTTTACCTTTAACTTTCATAACGGGTCCAGCCATGATATCCTTCCTGTTAAGCTCACTTACACCTTTTTCTGTAATTTCCAAGTTATCGCTAATTCTCCCCAGTCCATTCCAACACTCAGTGTAGGACCTTCAGAGCCGTCCGGCCAATGGCCCTAAGCGTGTCAGACTCGGTTTCAGGTGGGTGACATTAATGTCATCCCGAGGCCAGGGACGCAGCCCCTAGAGAGCCCTGCGTCCCCCTGAGTCAGACGATCCCGCCGCCCTCACAGCCCCAGCTCAGAGCGGGCGCCGCCGACCCCTGTGCTGCAGGCGCCACGCGTGGGCGCGGCCGAGACTGTTCAAGGACTCGGGGGGCAGGGAGCCAGGGACACACTTTTCTCTGGAGACTATTGCAACTTTCAGAGGGTTTGCTTTTATTGTTTTTCTCAAAACGTACTGAAGTGCTTCACAGGGATTTTATCAGGTGGTTCAAAAGTACAACTAGTGAAGCTTCCTGGTTTAGACAAGAGCAGCGATCCTATCAGACATTTTTAGCCAGTGACACTGGAATTACCTACATTTCTATATTCTCTCTTCCCACAGAGTATACAGACCTCGCTTTCAGTGTGCATTTCTTATGTTTAATTTCTTGAATGATAAAGAGTTTCCATATTAATTTGTCTCTGTACACCCCTCTTCTTCAAATAAAATGTTTTTTTAAAAAAATTCTTCCTAGAATGTATTACTTTAGTCTTTGTTTTAATAAAAAACAATGTTTGGTAGAGATTTCCCAGAAAATTATCTACCTAAAACTCCTGTGTCCTCAAAATTAACACATGAGAAAATTACCCCTCTGGCTTTTGGAAATACCAAATAAATACCTAGAGGAACCTCAATAAATAGAAAATTAAACTCCGAGAAAAAAACTTTCCCAATACTCTGCTTATGACAAAGAACAAGGACGCGGTGTCGGAAGGCGAAAACCGTATTGGCCTTTTTCTTCCACCCCCAAGGGGCCCCTTGGATAATGTTTGAAACGCTCCTTCTGCTCCCACTCCTGTCTCCACCCAGTGTGTCCTTCCACAGGCCGGGAGGGGTCCTTATGGAACCAGTAAGGGTCCTGTCACCCCTGTGCTCGGCGCCTTCACCGCTGCTCAGAATAAAAGTTAAAATCCTTACAATTGTCTTCAGGCTCAAAATATGTGCTGTCCACCATGGGAGACACTAGTTCCATGTGTCCACACACATTGGAAAAGTGGCTCCTCTACTCTGGCTGGTGTGGCTCAGTGGATTGCAAACTGGCCCGCGGTCTGAGGGTTGTTGATTTGATTCCTGGTCAGGCCCCCAACTCGCACATCAGATGCCTTTCTCCCTCCATTTCCCTCTTTCTAAAAATAAATTAAAACTTTTAAAATGTTTTAAAAAGTAACTAGTCTGAATTGAGCTGTGTTGTAAGAATAAGTTACACAATGGATTTAGAAAACTTTGTGCCAATGAAAAGAATGTACATTTTCTCACTAATCACTTTATATTGACTACCTGTTTGAATGATAATATTTCAATATGTTGAATTGAATACCATATATTATTAAATTTAATTTCACCTTTAAACACTGTGGCTACAAGGAAAAACCCAAGCTCCCTGTCCTGCATCTGGGGCTCACTCTGTGACCCTGTGGGACAGCTCTGGCCTGAATGACCCTACTTGCCAGCTCCCTCCCGCGTCGGCCTCTGCGCTGCTCTGGGTTCACCAGGCCGCTCTGGAGCCTTGGCGTTGCTCCCCGCTCTTCCTGGAAACCTTCCCTCATATCCTCACGGATACTTTCCTCACTCCTTCTGTTTTCTGCTAAAATTATCAGAAAGAACTTCTCTTAACAATCAATTTAATGTGGCCTCCAGGGCATGTGCACACCCACTAACTCTTGTTTCAAAACACTATGGCCCAGCCTATATAGAGGGGATAATCTCCCCTTAGGGAAATAGAACCCCTATGAAGTCAAGGTCCTTGTCTCTTTCATTTACTGCTGCTTTTCAAGAATAGTGTCTGGCTCATGATAGATACTAAATAAATATTTGTTAAAAAAATGAAAGGATGAAATATCACAAAAATAAGGAAGGTTATATCTAAGAGATTTTAATGTCAAGGAAGAGATTGGAAAATGAGAAGAACTAGCCTTTCCTGAGTGCCTACAATAAACTAGACACTGAGCAAAGCACTTATGTAAATCCTAATAAATCCCCACAAAAAGATCTTTACAGATGAGAAATCGAAAGCTCAGATAATTTAAATAACTTTCCCGCGGTCACGTAGCTGCTCTAGGACAACATTTCAGTGCTTTTCATTTATCTCCTCGTCCCCGAGGGCCTCCCCCGACGCCCAGACTCAGTCGGATGCTCCCGCAAACTCCCTCAGAGAACCTGCCCCGCACTGTCCCTTCGCCCCCTTGGTCACCACTGCGGTCCATGCGGCCAGGTGGCCGTCGGAGCCTGACGTCTCCACTGCACGGTGAACGTCACCAATAGCTGACAGTGAAGATCTTGACGTTTCTGTGTCCAGAGCCTTCCACCTTGTTGAATGCTTGCTCGCCATCACCTACTTGTTAAATAAAAGAACGAATGAAGGTTAATTTCCTCCCAAAATGTAATAACAGCTGATGAGTGAGTTAAGTGTGCCCCTTGAGAACAAGTGATTTTGTAGAGCAACTACGCGAGTGGCACCCAGTGGGATAGAGCCAGGCAGGGCGTTGCAGGGGAGAGGATGCTGGTGGGTGGGGGGACTAGTTGTTCTTGACAGTTTACCGGAGGTCATGGGGCCAGATGGTATGGATTTCCTCTGACAATGGGCTGTCCAACGTGGCGCCTCCCAGCCACCAAGGCTACTTAAATCAAAGACAATTAAAATTAAATATAATTGAACAATCCGTTCTTCAATCTCACCAGCCACATTCCAAGTGCTCAATAACCAGGCATGGCTAAAGGCTCCCTCATTGGGCAGCACAGATAAGGAAAATTCCCATTAAGGAAGAGTTTTATTGGGCAGCACTGTTCTAGAAAGTTTAAAATGTCCTTGGGAAGATAGAGTTTTAAATCGGAGGGGTCCTGCTTGATTAGTTTTGTAGTCTAACGAAAATTAAACTTGGAGAAAGAGTCCAATAATCAGCATCCCCGAGTGTTCCCGGGCAAGACCTAGACGTGGGTAAGGAGCTGCGTGGTCCAGTGATGGACACTTGGTGAGATGCAGGGGGCACAGCCCGCGGCCAATGGGGAAAGGGGCTCCCCCGGGCTCCAGGCAGGCCTGCTGCTCAGGGGGCCCCCGCCACTCTCTTGTGGGATGGAGCCCGTGTCTAGTTCCTGTCCCTACAGCCTTGCGTGTTTGATGCACAGACAGAAGACTGACCTGTGGGGAAGAGGAAAGGGTTTGGGCTGCCAAATGCACCTCAGACTACAGTTAGATAAACGCCTATGGTGAAAGTTGTTCAATACTCCCTTTTTCAAAATGTCACATATTTTCATTCAGGTAATTTCTTCATAACATGACTTTCAATAATTTTTGGCCAATACAGTTTACCTTTTCCTTTTTTTGAAATCATGTTGCTGGAGATTTTACCTCCCTAATTGGAGAAGTAAAACATTCCCTGTCATTGCCTTTGAAAATAAAATTGTTTATAGACAAGGAAAAAAATGTTTTATTTTCTGATTAAGTTCCCATAGTTCATGGTTCTCACTTCTGACAAGAGGCCAGTAGGGGAGGTGGGGAGGGGAGCCCTGGGCAGGCCCACATTTCCTATCTCAGCAGGAGGGGACATGGGAATTTTATGTTCTTTATGGGGTGGAGCCCCCACTCCCCATGATGACCCCCAGCCTTCTAGGGTTAGGTCTTTCCTATCCCTCTGAGATTGTCTTAGGAGAGACACCGGGTGACAATGTTGTGTCTGTGGAGAGGTGGTCAAGGATGCAGGTAGGGACTGGGGATGCCGCAAGGTCCGGGAGGAGGTGTTGAGGGGGGACAGTTGGCTTCCTGAGCTGTGAATGGGACAAGAAGGTTAAGAGAGAAACCTGAAAAGGACCAAAAACGCGGAGAGGAGCGAGGGCCGACCTGGGCGGGGCAGAACGGTAAGGGTCAAGCCGATGCTTAATGGGCAGTGGACCCGGGGAGACGAGCCCAGAGAGACACGGGCGCTGGTCTGGGACTCAGGCATCCGAGCTCCGCCGATGAGGTCAGCGGAGCCGGCGCGCCGGGAGGAGGGCAGCGGAGCCCCGGGACGCCGCGAGGCTGGCGGAGGGGCGGGACGGGACGGGAAATGGGACGGCGAGCAAGGGCCGCGGGAGGAGGGACAAGGGGGCGTGGGCGCTGGAAGCCGGAGGCGGCCCGACTCGACCAGTATCGTTTCCTTCCGGAGGGGAGGCCGGCTCCGGACCCAGGCGCGGAGGGGGGCGTCCGAGGGCACAGGAGTGGGAGACACCGCGGCCGCGCTTCCCACGGCTGGCAGAGGTGGCGTTTGTAGCTCCTCCTCCGAGCCCGTTCCGAGCCCAGCAGCAGGGGGAGCGGGAGGCGGGGAGCGAGGGCGGGGTATCTGGAAGGAGGGCGGAGGGAGGGACCAGGCGCGCCAGTGACAGGGTGGCAGCCGAGGAGCGGACGCGGTGTCTCTGCTCCACCTCCTCCTGCGGCTCCTCTCCCAGCTGCTGCCGCCGCCGCCGCCGCCGCCGCCGGGAGAAGTTTCACTCCAACCCTCGCTCGGAAGCCCCCGACACAGAGCGGAGTGGGGACCGCGGCAGGCCCCAGCGACCCACGGTGGGCTAGGCGCCGGGAGCGCTCGGAGCCCGAGCAGGCGTGGGCGCCTAGGCGGCAGGCAGCGGCTGGGGCTGGGGGCGCGGAGGCGCAGGCGGGGCGAGTGTGAGCCAGCGGACCCGCGCTCAGCGCCGTAGCAGCTCCGCTAGCGTCGGCGCCGGGCAGCCGCGATGGCCGTGCGCTCCCGCCGCCCGTGGGTGAGCGTGGCACTGGGGCTGGTGCTGGGCTTCACAGCCGCGTCCTGGCTCATCGCCCCCAGAGTGGCCGAGCTGAGCGAGAGGAAGAGACGCGGCTCCAGCATCTGCTCCTACTACGGCCGCTCGGCCGCTGGCTCCGGTGCGCAGCAGCCGCTACCCCAGCCTCAGTCCCGTTCGCGGCCGGAGCAGTCACCGCCCCCCGCACGCCCGGAGCTCAAAGGGCCGCATCTGGCTGAACCAGTAGCTGGGGTAGCCAGTTTTCGGAGCAGTCCCTGGCAGCAGCCACCTCCGCTGCAGCAGCGGCGACGAGGACGCGAGCCCGAAGGCGGGACGGGGCTCCCCGGCGCCCCCATGGCGGAGGGGGAACCCGAGGAGGAGGACGGGGTCGCGGCTCGGCAACAGAGAGGCGGCCGGCCGAGAAGCAGCCACAACGGCAGCGGGGACGGGGGCGCCGCCGCCCCGAGCTCCCGACCCCGAGGTTTCCTGTACGTGGGGGTGATGACCGCGCAGAAGTACCTGGGCAGCCGCGCGCTGGCGGCGCAGCGGACCTGGGCGCGCTTCATCCCCGGCCGCGTGGAGTTCTTCTCTAGCCAGCAGCCGCCCAACGCTGGGCTTGGCCAGCACTCCCCACCCCTACCTGTCATCGAGCTGCCCGGGGTGGACGACTCTTACCCTCCCCAGAAAAAGTCCTTCATGATGATCAAGTACATGCACGACCACTACCTGGACAAGTATGAGTGGTTCATGCGCGCCGACGACGATGTCTACATCAAAGGTGACCTCCCAGCGGCGGGTGCCCCGTTTGCCGGCCTCCTTTCCCTGCCTCCAACCCCAGCCCCTGCCCAGCCCTCTGTGCTTTTGTGCCAGCACGTGCTCCGGGCTCCTGCAGCCCCCAGCCCTCCGTCCCCGCCCTCGCGTCCCCGCCGCCCTGGTCCGCGCCGCTCCTCCTCCTTTGCTGCGGTGCGGGCTCCTCACACCTGCCCGTGTGATCCGCCTTCCTCGCGCTTGCTTTCTGGTTTCCGCTTAGCGCTGCTCTCTACGGCGCGGGAGAGGTGCGGGCCCGGACCTGAGGGTCAGCGGAGGGCTGCTCCCACCCTGCCCTGCTCCGAAAGCCCGGGGGGTGGCAGGTCCCCAGGTCGGTCCAGAGGGGCGTGTCCTCGAGGAGGACGGGAAGACCGCGGGCGCCGGCCAGGGAAATCGCTGTTCTTGCTTTGTTCCCCTGTTTTTTGTTTTAAGTGGATCTAGTGCGGTTTCGGAACTGGGCAGACTGAGGAATCGTCTCCTCTGCCCCGGGCCCTCCCCTAAGCATTTCCTTCCCTTCGCAAGCCCCGCGCCCCGCGCCCCGCACTGCGAGTCCTGAGCATCCCGGTCGCCCCAGGCGCAGCCCCCTCCAGCGCCTACTGTGCGGCGCCGCGCTGCCCCCGCCCTCATCCCTCAGTGAAACCCCCCAGGCGATGATGGGCGTCTTGTCAGGTTTGGTGGCGGAAAGAACCAGGCGACGTCCTGGAATTGTCCAGATCCCCGTTTCTCGGGCAGTGCGGGCCCGACCCGGTTGGATCCTTGGCGCATCTTGGCGGCTGCGGCTGTGAGCAGAGTCTGGAAGTCCCCCGCACCAGGCGCTGCCACCGCGGGAGAAAACTTTGTCAGCTTTTTAAGGAGGCGCGGCCCTTCACCCTGAGTGTGGGTGGCCCTGGCCAGAGATTTGTAAACTCCGCGGGGAGCAGTTCCCGAGAGCTGGAGCGAATCTTTCGCGTCCGGCCTGTTGCGGGATGGAGAGGGGCGCAAGGGAAGCCGCGGGCTGTGCGGAAGGGCGGCCTCCCCGCGCACAGCGCGTTTCCCAGCTTCCTGCCCAACCCGGGCAGCCCCTGCTGAGGCCCTGCCTCTGGGCCGGGAGCCTCGCCGCGGTGCCCTGGCCCGGGCGGTGGCCCCTTCCCCGGGGCGCAAGGGAAAAGCTAGCACTTCTCTTAGTGCTGTGAAAGGTTGTCCTTTAGAACATTGAAATACCATATTCTTTCCATTCCTGCTAAGATTGAAAGGCGTTTTGTGTTAAGAACCCGGTAACAGCCGAAACTCACTGAGATCCGAGGGGCGTGGCACGGGATCCAGCTGGTGACCGCGGTGTCTGCTCCTCGTCAACGCTGGCGAAGGCGCTGACCGGGAACACGGAAGGCGCTGCCTCTCCCAGCGCAGCGTTTGCTAGAACGTCAGGTGCTTTGGACCTGTGTTCCCGAATTTTAAATTGTTTTACCTGGTGAACTCACAGACTCTAAGGAAGCCCATTTTATTCTTTAATTTTTTACAAATGTTGTTTTTTTTTCCCTTAAACCAACGCTTTCCAAAGTTCCAAAATTAAATTTCAATCAAGTTAAGGACAAAACACTAATCTCGATCAATTGGCAGTAGAAAAATAATTATTGGACATTAACAGTCTGTTAGTCAATGCTAAATGTCAATTTTTAATATATCTGTGAATTGTATCAGTTCAAACATGCTAAGAAACCTCTTTATTCTCATCATTATTTCAACTAAAAAATCTGACAGTTGTAACACTTATTAAGGTTTTTTAGTGACCTTGACTACAAGGTCAATACAATTTTATTATGACTTAATGAATAATGATAAAAGAGTACTTTGAAAGTAGTAGAATATTCAGAGAGGTTTTTCTTCTCTGCAGTTGTTTCAGACTCACAGGGAGTTCACACACCAGATTGGAAGTCCTGCCCCTTTGTACTTTAAACGATGATGAAATTAGGAGAGGAGTGACTGTTGCCTTTGTCTTTGCAGGCGACAAGCTGGAAGAGTTTCTTAGGTCACTGAACAGCAGCAGGCCCCTCTACCTGGGCCAGACTGGCCTGGGCAGTGTTGAGGAACTGGGGAAGCTGGGCCTGGAGCCCGGGGAGAACTTCTGTATGGGAGGACCCGGCATGATCTTCAGCCGGGAGGTTCTCAGGAGGATGGCGCCACACATTGGCGAATGCCTGGGAGAAATGTACACGACGCACGAGGACGTGGAAGTAGGACGATGTGTTCGCCGATTTGGGGGGACTCAGTGTGTCTGGTCCTATGAGGTAAGACTTGAGCTAAGATGAAAATGTGGGCGTATGGCAGGTGTGTGCCACCTTACAGACTGGGCAGCGATTCTGCTTATTTCTCTGTGTCTTTGCATTTGCTTGAAAATGAGAGCACAGCTGGTTATGGACACACGGGGATTGTGGGACATACCTTTGTTATAGAGCTAAGGCCTGTCTGAGGTCTTCTCATTAGCGTGACCACTCACCTTAACCTTAACCAGCTGCCTGGACGGGTGGTCACATCCCTGAAAGATGTTCTCCCCTGTTATTTGCTTTATGGGTGTTTATAGGAATACGTACCCTTTCCTCTCTCTAACAGGAGGACTAATTCTGTGGGGCTGTAGCTTTTAGCATTTGGTGCTTAGTTGTTTGTTGCTGTTGTTTTGGTTAGGTATGTAATTGCATTTGTTTTTCTCCAGTAGTTAAAATCTGAAGGTTCTTTGAAGATTTTTGTGTGGAAATTTCACATGTATTCTTTTTAAAGCAGAGGAAAAGTTAACTCATGATAAATCACTTATGATGGATTTATTCACACAATTTTAAAAGACATTAATGATCTAGAATAACAGTAGATCTGAAGATGTTAAGTAGCTGCTTGATATTTTGATGGGTTCCCCAGAGGTTGTTTATTCTATATCTGAACAGCAACTATTATTTAAGTGATCTGACTTATGAACTTTTGTACAATTGCAGTGATAAGTTTTATGAAATACTTTCAGATTGTTTTCCTTTTCAGAAATTGGTTTTTAAGTGAAAGACAATAAAAAAGATAGTTTTCTTGAAAAATGATCTTAGTAAACATTGATTAAACTCTTAAATAGTGTATTGCAGTTTTCTAGCTTGGTCTTCAAGTAGCTGGAGTAGAATATATTTTAGCCATCTGGTGCACACCTTTGTAAATGATAACTCAATTTACTTTTCACATTTTCATGGCTCTTGATATAAGAGAAATATTTTATGAAAATATACAGGGGTGGGCAAAAGTCAGTTTACAGTTTGAATACAAACAGTACAACAATTAATAAATAATACAAGAATAAACTCCTTGTTTCACATGCTCACAGTTGTAAACCTATTATTACCCACCCCTATAGTGCCTGTGAAATCCTCATATCACAAGATCTCATAGCCTCATTCATTTTCCACTTAGAAGTTTAATCTCACTTTAGTAAATTTTGCTTTTTTCCCCTGTTTTGTGGTATTTACACTGTAGGGAAATAGTTCTTATACTTATTACAGAAAGTAAAAGTTACTTGAGAACTAGTTATTTGTAGTATGTCATATGCAAACTTAAAATTATTACATACCTCATTCATTTTGATAAGGAAAATTGTAATTTTCCTTTTATAAAATGTTTTAGAACTACCTTTTGGAATAAAAATTTACGCAAGCATATTATAGCATAAAAATAGGTAATTTAGATTAAGATGAATGAAAAAGATTTGTCTTTCGCCATTTAACATATTGGGTTGGCCAAAAAGTTCATTTGTTTTTTCCGTAAGATGACTCTAGTAGTGCCTAGTTTTCTTTAACTTCATTCAAAACCATTTTGTTAAATTATATTGTGACAGCTGCTGTATCATCGTGCATTAAAGAGAAAACTTATCAAAATTGCCGAACTTTTGTGTATCCATTTTAATATTGAAGATGGAAGTAAATGAGTGACATTTTTGGCATATTATGCTTTATTATTTCAAAAAAGGTAAAAATGCAACTGAAAGGGCAAAATAATTAGTGCAGTGTATGGAGAAGGTGCTGTGATGGACTCAACTTCTCAAAAGTGGTTTGCAAATTTCATGCTGGAGATTTCTAGCTGGACCATGCTCTACAATTGGGTAGACCAGTTGAAGTTGATCATGATCAAATTGAGACATTAATTGAGAACAATCAATGTTATACCACTTGGGGGATAGTTGACATACTCAAAATACCCAAATCAATAAAGTTATTGGTGTAAATGAAAAATGTGTCTTTTATTTTATGGAAAGAAACTAAATGGATTTTTTTTGGCCAACCCACTAGAAGTAACTGGAAAGCAGCAAGCAAACAAACAAACTCAATAACGAAAACACACCCAGTGGATTGTTTACATGTGGATGTTATTTTGCTGGCTTAATGTATGGATGAGTAAAAAAAAAATCATTCATATTTAAAAATGAAAGTGGAAAATTATTGTTTTACTTGATACTTTGTTGCCTTGACATCACATACAAACCTTTTGTTTGTGTCCCTCCCTCCAAGTTTCCATGGACTCTGCTGTGAGGGCATGACCCTTGCAAAGCAGCCACCCATTCACGTTCCCAGAGAGAAAAGCGCGCTCACGTGGCCTGCGTGCTCACGAATGGATTCCCTGTTTTATTTATGACATAGGCACTGTGTTAGCGTAGTGGAAACTCAGAACTTTTCAAAAACTACGTACATGAAGAGACAGACAAAAGGGACTCCAAGTCTTACAGGATGGAACTTGACATTCACCATATTTATATCTCCTTTTCACTATACTTTTGAATTTTAGGCCAATCCTTGTCCTTTACTGACTTCAGAATCTGTCTGAAAAAATCATTTCTACATATTTTTAGCAATAATAAATATTTTCTAAAGGAATGCTGTTTCAGAATGTAAACTTTATGTTTTGCTAAGCGATTCTATAGAATTTATTTTGTTTTGGAATTTCACTCTTTAAAGGATCAGCTTATATGTATTTATTTTAGCAGAGCATAGATTTAATCCTAATGCAGAGTCTCAAAGTCTTCTTTAAAAGAATGATGGAAAATTTTATTATGTAGGAGTAAACTAAACAGCATCTATGCATAAATGTAGTAGAGATAAAAATACAATTAAATCGTATCTAAGCCTTTTACTATTAGGGTGTGTTCCATGTTTATGAGACACTGAGTTGGTCGGTTGGGCAGAGGAAAACTGAGGCTTTTCAGTGTGGCTTTCCGGTTAGTGGAAGTGATGTTCATCTTTTCTAGCATTCACAGTGTGTGGAAAAATTTACCTCTTCCACTCTGGGCTGGCATCCTTAGTGAAGGTGAGATTTCACATCTGGTAATAGAGTAAGTTATGAAATTGATCAGTCATTTTGTTTCCATATTTCCTTTAAAAGAACCATCTGTGACAGAACGCTCTTAATATTTTGAATGTCTTTTATCTAGTATCGCTCATGGATTTCAGGATTTTGTTTGGCTTTTCCTCCCAATAAACGTTCTTGCGGAGTTAACAGCACTGTGACAGACACATGTTCACAGTTACTACGTTTGAAGAGATGAAGCATTCGTGATGGAATTTGATCTTTTAAAAAATGATGAGCAGGATTGCAGAAGATCTTGTAGGAAGAGAATTGGACAAAAACATTAGAATGCATAGATTAGGTAGCTTTTCTGGAATATAAATTATAGTTTTTATAAAACATAGGAATCTTCTCGTATTCTTGTTTACTGTTCAGTTGAAGTCTGCTTTCTCTGTGGTGTGTATACAATGAAGCACAGTGTTGAGAGAGAGAGAAGCCTAGGAACTTGAATTGGGGTCTGAGTCACCTCTCTGCTACGTATTAGCTTCATCGTCTTTTGTAAGTTACTTCTCTGAGCCTTGTTTAATTGAACAGAAAGTGGAAATTTTAATAGTATTTACCTCCTAGATTTTGGAGATTAAGGGAAACGGTGAAAGGATCCATGTGAAGCCCTTAATGTAGTGTCTGGCATGTAGTAAATTAGCAATAGTTGTTCGCTATTATTGTTTACAAGGCTGAATAGATCAAGTACTGTGTTATATATAACATGGATTCATTGATTCAGCTCTATCAAAACAGTCAGCCTACAATTTGTTTTTCAGTTAAAGATTCAAGTTTCAGATTTTTTAGCACAGCAAAAGAAACCAATATGTTTCAGGAAGACTGTTTAAAACATGCGTTACAAATATTAGCTCCAGTCTTTGAACATCATATTACAGTATTAACTAACTGATCTGAAGAAGACAGTGTGGAAAATATTTAAAAATTCATTATTCAAGATGCATAATTAAGGAATATCAAACAGATCACACTCTATTTCCATTAACAGATTATTAGTGCATAGATTTCTAGATTAGTTGCCGAAACAGTAGTCCCCTCTTCTGAGTTTCTCTAGAATTTTCAGTAGGAAAAGAAGCCAGTTGTGTCCCGTTCTACAGTCAGCTCACAGGAACTTGTCTCCCGTGGCACCTGGGAGCTCCTGACGAAGTCCCCCAGGTTTTTCAGGGAAGGGTGTAGAGCTTTAGTTCTCACAAGTAGGTCCCAGAGGTCTGGGAATATGGGTCTTTCCTGTTAGCCTCTTGCTCTATTTCCTTCTCCATCAACTCCAACAACTTTTCCTTTTATCCTCTGTCTTTAATGATAAAATAAATCACAAATGCACATTCATGTGGTTCTTGGTCAATTACCATGCTCATGACAGGCCAACCCTGATGTTCCGAGAGCTCACGGATGTGCACCCAGATCACACTTAGGGCCACGGGATGCCTTGACCTCCCCCTAGGAAAGAAGCCTTAGGCTGCTGGTGAGCCTCCGACACACTGGCTGGGTTTTTGTGGGCCTGGGGCCTCGGGAGAGTCAGAATTGAGAGTCTCCCTGCTGCACCCGGATGTACAAACATCTAGTGTTTAAGGATGTGGCAGATGTTAATAATCAAGACTTCACAGGTTGCTGTTATATTCATTTAGATCTCAAATTGTATGAGTAAAATTACCAAATGTTCGTGAAAAAGTATTCTTTTCACTCTGTGAGTATTCGAATTTATTGGCCTCTACTCTTGGCTCTGTTTGCATGTGTGGTCCAGCTCAATCTTGGCTACTGTTTTCCCAGATGTCTGAACTGCAGTCTGGCAGCTTGGGAGGCTCCACGGGGCTTGGAAACGTGGTCTGACGCTCAGGGGGTTTTTGTTTTTGTTTTTTGATGACTTTACAGTCTTCAGTCCCCTTCATGTCCTATGGTTGTCCATGAGGTTCTTCTTGCATGTTTA